AACAATATTTTATTTGTAGGTGGCCTCTTACAATTGCCACCAGTTAATGGCAGGCCATTTTAAAAAAAAATTAGCAACGAATTTGTAAAAACTAGACTTTGAGTAGCAAATGCAGTAAACATATGGAAACAAACAGTTGAATATGATGAACTAACAATCAATGAGCGACAAAAAGGAGACGAAACTTTTTTTAAGATGCTTCATTCTGTTCGGCATGGCTGTCTGACTGATGAAACTAATGATACGCTTAAGAGTCGCATATTTAAGGTTTTAATACAAGAAAAATATCAATTTGGAAAGTGAAGGAACAAATCCTCCAATTTGTCTATTTTCTAAGGTAGAGGCGTGCCAAAAAATCAATGAAATAATGTTAGAAAGTCTAGAAACTCTGAAAATAGAATTAGCATGTGTTGATGTTGATGAAAGTGGCAGCACAGCAAAATTTGACAAAAAAACAAGAAAAAAATTAGAGAAACTGAAAGATCAACGAAGCAAAACAGCTGGTTTAGAAACTGTATTGTCTTTAGCAGTAGGCTGCAGAGTAATGCTAAGACGTAATATTGATGTGACTGTAGGATTAGTTAATGGTGCCATTGCTACAGTAATGGGTATTCATGCTACACGTATATCAATCAAATTTGATCATATTGTAGTACCTTGTGACGTAGAAAGGGTTACATCTAGATTTATGCTATCTAAGAATTTGTATATACATAGGAAACAGTTTCCCCTAATACTTTCTTATGCTATTACTATACATAAAAGTCAGGGCCTCTCACAAGATACAGCCGTTACTGATTCATCGACTGATGTTTTGGGAATAGTATGGCATATGTTGCATTGTCTCGTGTACGTACATTAAATGGATTACATTTATTATCATTTCATCCTTTGTCTGTTAAAGTTAGTAGTCCGTGCATTAACGAAATTAAACACCTCAGAAGTAAATTTCAGAATGACTTACCTCAAATCAAGAAAAGTAAAGGAAAGAAGAGAAAGATTCAAGTGACTGGTATAATTAATAATGGTGAATCTTGTAGTAAGAATGCCAAGGTGTCTGTAAGTCATGTACAAAGTACTAGTAACAGTACCGTTAGTAGCAATAAATGTAAGAGTACTGATTTACAAAAGTCTAATTGCTCCAAAAACAGTAAAATCTGTCACGATAATGCTTTACATAAGCCTTGCCCCCAAAAAAGAAAAGTTGATGTAGACAGTAGTACTGACAATACTGCTTTGGTAGTGCCTCGCTCAAAAACAGATGATAAATTAATTGTTTCAATTAATTTGAAAGACCTAAAAACCAAATTTAATGTCCTAGATGATGATAGTTGTAGTAGTGTCATTGTATCTATAAAACTCTCAAACATTAAATGTAAACCAAAAGATGATAAAACCAAGTGTGTTGTAATAAATGACCATTGTAGTAGAAGTCTGATTGTATCTATAAAACTCTCAAGCATTAAATTAAAGACAAGTTATCCAAGAAAAGGTGATGTCATCTTTACTAATGAAGAGCCTCCAAACCCAGATATTGTCAGAAGGAGACAATCGGTTTATGTTTATTACCCTGGTCATGAAGAATTTTAAAGGTGGTGTGAGATTTTAAATCTCAATTTGGTCACAGCTGCTACAATCTTAACTGGTAGTCCAACAACACCATTGTCAGATGAAAGAGTTCGTAATAGTACTCTTGATGTCTCTGGTGATGGGAACTGTTTATTTTATGCCCTTTCATATCTCATTACTCAGTCAATTTCTCAGCATTACGAATTGCGTAAAGCAATTGTTAGTAATATGCCAAAATTTGAAGAATTGTTTAATAGTACATTAAGTGCAACCAGATATTCAAGCTTATAGGATTATAATTAAGTCCAAAATGTATAAAAATTGTTTGTGGGCCATTGACACAGATTATTACACTAACTGCAATATTAGGTACAACCATATATTCATATTCACTAACTCCTACTTTTGTTGGCTGGGCTAGATATGTAACCCAAACTTTTTGTGGCATTCCTTGTGATACTAATACACCTGCTTTGTATTTGAAGCATCTTGGTACTAATCATTTCCCAGCAGTTAAACCTATTAATATTTCTTAAGCATTGATTGTTCATGAAAAGTGGGTATGGTGTATGGGAGGTCCACCATATGAAAAACATTGGTTGTTTAATGTGACTTATATTTCACTGCATGTGCAATGTGAATGATGTGTGAGTGTGAAAACCATTGGTGCATATCCACTGAGTATTGCTCAGTATCAAGGAATCAAACTGCAATCAGGATGTGAGATTAATGATTGTATAACAATGAATATTGATTACTTATTGCTATAATGGACAGGGAGAGGGTGTGAAATAGGTTTAGTGTTCATTAGAGTTTTGCGTTGATTCAAGTTTGTGTGACTATCATTTATGTAGGACAGAGGGTTAGGAAGGGAGGAAGCTGTCATTATCAAGTCTGGATCTTGTTTGTGGCTTGTACTACATGTTTATTACAAATAACAGGTGCTGATGCTCTGCTGAAAAAATTTGAAGTCCTGACAAGAAAAATTTTTAAGTAACATTAACAGTAGTATTATTCAATCAGTGATTCTGTACATATAATAATGATCATCATGCATGTTAATGCTGCCATCAATGCTGTGCGCATTATTAAGTTAATGCTTGCCAGCTGATGTTGCACATTTGAATGATGCTGCCATCAATGCTGTGCGCATATTTAATGCTTGCCAGCTGATGTTGCACATCTTTTATTGATGATTGTTGTAACATGTGCATGTTCTCATTAACACAAAAAAATATTGTTGCGCATTGGAAATTCTTCATGTACACAATGTTATATTATATATTAAGCAGGTCATGGAAGTATTTTAACTGAAGATAGCATTAGTAAGCAATATTATGTCTAAAATACATGCATGCACATACATGTATGATCCTATCAGAAATATTGTAGATGCTACCATTATCATTATTATATAGGCGGGTGCCTATATGTAGGAGTGAGGTTGATTTTTCAAGATGGCGGCCGTTTTTATGATTTGCAAACACTCATAACTCTTTTATCTTACGTTGTACAGCCTTACTAATGGCTTAGATGAGCTCTCCTTCACTGAGCGATTCTCCTGGTACCTTTAAAATGGACTGTAATGTAGCGAGAGCATTTCCGGAGAATAGGCCCAAATTCAAATTTCTGCAAAATTCTTCACACTTTTTCTTCTTCTTTCATCTTCTATCAACACGGAAATCTTTTAAGCCAGAGAACCGCTCAAGTTGGCTTTTACATCATTCCTTTGAGCTTGAGTCAAGGACTGGACATGTGGCTTCAAAAAGAAGCAAAGACAGAGAACAATGGAAGACAAATTCCAGCTGCAGCACCGCGTGGGTTTGTGGTTTGACGCAATTTTAATTTATGCGCATGTGATAATCATGAATATGATTAACATAACCACATAATCATAACAGAAAGTAATTTATAAATTTAAGAAAAAAGAATGGAAACAAGTAAATACAAAACATTAAAAATGGAATAGTAGTAGGATTAAATTGTAAAGAAGTAAAGAAACAAGAGGGTACTTGCAAAGTG